GATCATTGATAGGGCCCAACCAGTTTTATACAGTAAAATGAAAAGAATGAGAAAGTCCCACTTACTTGACTTTATTTGATATCTTTGCCCTAATTACTTTTGATCCATTTGCTATAGTGCATTCAAAGTTCTATATTTAAAAGACTAAAAGTGAGAGTAGATTTTATAATTCAAAAGTAAAAATGTACAATATTTAAACTTAAAATTGGTTATAAAAGTATATTGGCCATTATTTTGCAAAGTGCTACAGTGCATGGAACATAGCAGGTATTCAGTAAGTGGGAGCAAACAGTGACAACATGTTAGACTTATTTGGTTCATTTTTATAACATATTAGAAAAATACTAGAACTCCTCTGCAGGAATTCAGGAGACAATGTGAGTCACAGATCATAGTGAAAATTTACTAACAAGGTATTCTATGGAAAATAACAGAATAAAACCATGATATAGAAGTTAAAATTCAGAATAACTAGGAAAGATCCAAATTAAGAAATATAATCAAGACTTAAAATAAAAAGTTTTAAGAATTAAGACTATTTTGCCCAAAGAAGAGTCCTATGTGATTCTGTTGACCAATGTCACCCCAATAATTAAAAAAAAAAAAATACATTGCTGAACCTAAAAAAAAGGGGGGGGGGGCAGCCAAAAGACTTAAACCATTAGGGTTTTGCCAATCAAATACCATCAAATAATAAGATGCTATGATAACTCCATTTCTGTTTTGTTTTGTTTTGTTTTATTAGTACTAGCCTGTTTCTTAAAATGATATGTTACCTTTAAAAATATAAAGTTTACTTTTTTATATATATATTTTTATCGATTTCAGAGAAGAAGAAAGAAAGGAGGGATGGAGAGATACAAACATCAATGATGAGAATCATTGATTGGGGAGTGAGTCTGCAATCCCAGCATGTGGCCAGACCTGGAATAGAACCATAATCTCCTAGTTCATAAATCCATGCTCAACCACTGAGCCATGCCAGCCGGGGTAAGGTCTACTTTTTAGTAAAAATAAAATCATCTCGTTTTTCTCAGGTTTGTGTCTGAAACTTTAAAATGCTCTGATAGGAAATACATTTGCAAACATTACACCAGATTTTCTCCATATTATCTCTAAATTTTATTGTTAACAGCTTTCAAGGCATGACCTACAATACAAATGTATTTTCTATGTCACAAATATATTAATATTGCTTGCATGACTGATTAACTTGTCCAAGAAAGATTTTCTACACTATTTTTTGTCATATTTAGAAAAATCCCTTATCCACAGGTTTAATCTAAGAATTAAAAACAGGATAAATAAAAGACTACCAACAATTTACTGCCTATTGATAATGTGTTCCTTCTTATAAAAACTTAGTTTTAAAAATAAACTAATTTGAATAAATTTTATATATCTCTAGAATATCTTAAGCTTAATGTTTAATGTCTATGGAAGCTCTAGAGAACACAATTATTCAAGTTTTTATCTTATATAAACTAGGATTGATAATGTGTTCCTTTATCCTATAAAAACTTAGTTTTTAAAATAAAATAATTAAACTAAATGTTACATATCTCTAGAATATTTTACGCTTAATGTTTAATGTCTGTGGAAGCTCTAGAGAACACAATAATTCAAGTTTTTATTTTATATAAAATAGGATTGTCACCTAGAGGAAAAGTAGACTGACTTTATTCCATTTCTTCTTCTATTACATTGCATAGCTTGAGCAGACTTTGTCAAATACTTTATTGTTTTTATTTATTTTAAGAACCATAATTCAAGAGGTTAATCATCCTCTAATTAAAGTTCTAAAAGAAATTGAGAGATTATCTCAATCTGCATATTTCTTAGTCACGTGTGAATAAACGTTACAGCTTTAAATAGGCTTCATTAATAACCAACACTTTTAATTTTAACTAATACATTTATTTAATCATCATATACGTACTTGGGGTATACTATATAGACCACATGTGTCAAACACAAGGCCCGCGGGCCAAATCCATCCCGCCAGGCCTTGCAATATGTCCCGCACCGCGCTGTCATCACTGCACTCCGCTGCGTTTCCATCACAATGACAGTCTATGACTGTTCAGTAAACCATTTGGCCTGCGATTTAGGCTGGATTTTAGATTTTGGCCCCTTCTCTGATTGAGTTCGACACCCCTAATATAGACAATGAGTTGGGGGGAAAAAGATTAAGAAAAGAGCTCTTGCCTCCAGGAACACAAAAATTCTCAGGGAGAATGACAAGATAAATAGGTAATAGACAATAAATGAAATTAGCTCTGGAACTACAGAGGATGGACAGTTTAGAGAGTTAAGGAGAGTGGCATAAAAATTGTGTTCTGAAAAATGGGAATGCTAGTTCTTTTTTCAGATAAAGGAAGGGTGATAGCAGATTCTGTGAAGGAGGGAGTTCTAGAATAAGTCAGTGACATGAATAACAACCGAGGAACAACAAGGCTATGGTTCACTTAGAAGTAGGGCTAAAGCATAGGATTTAAAGAAAGACTGTGTTAAAAAAAAATAGAAGGACCTTAAATGCTATAAGAAGTTTTCATTTCATTCTTACTCTAGCAGGGACTCTTTGAAGTACTTCAAACATATTAGTTACAAGATTCTACTCATATCATACCATATCAATTTGATGGCAAAGAGGAGAAGAGATTGGAAGGGGGGCTAGACTGAAGTTTGAGAAATCTAGACTATATTTACTTTTCTCACTTTCTTTTTTTTAAATATATTTTATTGATTTTTTAAAATTGATTATGGTCTCACATAATTGTCCTTATTCTCCCATTCCCATCCCAAACCCCTCCCTAGATATGCCCCGCCCACCCCCATTGTCCATGGCCACTGGCTAGGCCCATATGTATCAACCAAAGGACTTGTGTGCATACTTTTCTCACTTTCTTAGATTATTATGATCACTGTGCTCTATTTTATTCTGAATCTAGAGTCTAAGCACATGTACTTTTCTATTCCTAAAGAACCTCTGGCTAATTTGTACTGATGACCTAAAGCAATAATATGCTTCACATACTGTGAACTACAGCCGACAAGGTGTCTTGTTTTTAGCTTTAAGTTTACCTTTAAATTTAGATTTAAAACTCAGAATTGCAATGCAGTGATGTTTAATTATCAGATGGGAATGGCATCATAATGAATATGATACTAATAATTAATGGATAAAGTCTGGGAGTTTGTGAATGACTTATTTGTTTGATCAAGTGAGTAGATTCAAAGTTATGCCCAATAAATAATACAACATCACTCTCATTAATATTCCGTTTTTATTAGTGGAAAAAAAGATGACATGGGGAAGAGTGATAGCTGGCATTTTTATAACTTTGAGACAATTTGAGGTCTCTCTTATCTAAATGCTCCTGGGATTGAAATTGTGTTTTATAATCATTATTACTTGAATAATACTAACAATGTATGGAGAGATTTGTTATTATTATTATTATTATTTATTATTATTATTATTATTATTATTGATTTCACAGAGAGAAAGGAAGAGGGAGAAAGAGATAGAAACATCAATGATGAGAGAAAATTATTGACTGGCTGATGCTTGCAGTGCCCACCACTAGGGATCAAGCACTCAACGGAGGCACGTGCCCTGACAAGGAATAGAAGTATGACCTCTTGGTCAATGCTCAATCACTAAGCCACACCAATCTGGCTGGAGATCGTATTATTTGACAATCATACCACTAATTGAGCTTCATATGTATTAATTTATTTAATCTTCCCTAAAACCCTAAGACACTATTATCCCTATTGCAAAGATTAGAACATAAGAAGGCTTGATCACTTTGCCCAATTTTACTTGGGTGGAGGGTGGAAAGTGGACACACAGGTTTAAAAAACCACATCATTTGCCCTAGCTGGGTTTGGCTCAGTGGATACATACTCTTTGAACTGTAATTTTAGAAGTTCTTTCTAAATGAATATTAGAGGTATTTTTTAAACTCAGCAATTTCACTTCTAGGACATTTTTCTAGCAACATAATTTCACATGTGGACAAGAACTTGTATTAGGATGTTTACTTCTATATTGTTTGTAATAAAACAAGATTGAAAACTACATTTCTAAGAACCAAGATAATGTCTAGTTAATTATGGTGCATACTCTTAAACCTAATAAACTGTGTTAAAAAGAGTGCTGATATGGGATAATTTCTTAATCTTCAAATGTGTGCCAAGTGGAAAAGGAAAGGAACAACATGGTGTATACAGTATGTTCATTAATTTAAAGGGGAGAAGTGTATGAGTATTTAAATAAGATAAAAGAGTCCCTCTTCTGAACCCCTTAATAAATAAATAAATTATGGAAATTGCAGGAAAGTATTTGAACTAATACTTTCTAACTAACCCCAAGGAGTTAGAAGCCATTTTTCTTCCCACCTTTGCATCTTCTCTGACACCATTTTCTCAACCCATATCCTTTGTTGGCTTATTCTTCAGTGCATACCTCAGATATCACATCCTGAAAGAACCTTTCAAAATTTTTTCCTAAACTTTACACCAAATCTGGGCACTTTGACGTAAAATGACCTTTATTTATTCTTGTAATATTTAGCAAAATTTCAAGTAAATAATTATAGAATTAGTTGATTGACTTGTTTTTCAAAGAGAATATAATGTCTTGGAGTGACTACGAACGAGGTCATTGCAGCATTCCTAACAGTATTTATCAGATGCTGTTATTTATGTTGACTTATTTTTCCACATAAGTTTTACTCTTGATTTGGCCAACAGTATGACCTTAGCAAGTATCAATGTAATTTTAAAATTCTTTATAGCTCTAAAACATTGATTCTATGACTCTAGTCCTAAATGAAACTAAGAACATCATTGTCTCTAAAAACTTAGCTAATTTGCTATTGAGTTTTATGTAATCTGTTAACCTGAGTTTATCTTGCTATCAAGTAAGAAAACCGAACAAGATGAAGGTGTAAGACACATTCTCATTTTTCCAACAACCCCTCTTCTCTCACATTTTTGCTTCTGACTATGAATCGCATATTGCAATATTATATGCCTTTAACTCTTAAGAATCTCCTCAGCGCTCGCATTCTCTCTCTCTCTCTCTCTCTCTCTCTCTCTCTCTCTCTCTCTCTCTCTTTCTCTCCCTCCCTCCCTTCCTCCTCTGTCTCTCTCTTTCTCTCTCCCCTCTCCCTCCCTCCCTTCCTCTCTCTCTCTTACATACACACACACACATTGAACTTTCTATAATCTGATTCCAGGGGAAGATAAAGTTTGAAAGGTAGGAAACAGTGTTCTTACTGGACAATGCTTTAGCCTCTATAATCTGTCTTTTTCTTGCCCAAGGAGAAATACGGGGCTAAGGATCTACGGTAAGGATATTTTCTGATGTCACATCCCCCATTATTGTTGTGAGAGGTAGAATGGTTGCAAAAATGGTCCTAACTCTCTCTCTCTCTCTCTCTCTCTCTCTCTCTCTCTCTCTCTCTCTCTCTCTCTCTTTCCCTCTCTCTCTCTTGTCTTTATCCACACCTTTTGCAAAGTATGTTTAGCTCCTTCCATTAAATAAGTGGGTATGATTTCCCCACCCTTGCTCCTTCCAATAGGTAGGTATGATTTCCCCATCCTTGAACTTGAGCTGAGCTTGGGACTTGACTTCACCAACAGAATGTGGCTTCCACCAAGAAAAATAAGCCTAGGGAAGCATATCTCTCTCTCTCAAATAAGCCTAAGGAAACATAACTCTCCCCACTTCTCTTATTATATATTAGAGGCCCACTGCATGAAGATTCATGCAAGAATGGGCCTTCCTTCCCCTGGCTGCTGGAATCACCTTCACTCTGGCCAGAGCACCTTTCCACCTTCTCACACTGCCCAGAGGCCCAGAGCAGCTGGGGCAGTGAGGAATGCCTGTGTCATCACCATGGTGATGATGCAAATGCCCTACCCCACCTAGCCACTTGGCACCTGCACATGCAAATTAACCCACCATCTTTGTTGGGTTAATTTGCATACTCACTCCTGATTGGGTGGTGGACGTTGGGAAGGTACGGTCAATTTGCATTTTACTCATTTATTAGTGTAGATATAATAAAAGCCTAAGCGACAGAACAACCAGAATGGCTGGTCACTATGATGTGCACTGACAATCAGGGGGCAGATGCTCAATTCGCTCCCATAGCGGGAGGGCTGCTCAGTCAGAAGCCAGACTAATGGCTGACAAGTGCAGCGATAGTGGCGGGAACCTCTCCTGTCTTCATGGCAGCACTAAGGAGCAGCAAGCCAAGCAGTAAGGAGCAGCAAGCAGGTGGGTGCTAAGGAGCAAGGGGTCTCAGACTGCAAGATGGATGTCCAACTGCCAGCTTAGCCCACTCCCCTCAGACTTCTGGACTGCGAGAGGGTGCAGGCCAGGCTGAGAGACCCCCCCCCCCCCCCAGTGCACAAATTTTGTGCACCGGGCCTCTGGCAGATATATCAAAGGCTAAGTGACAGACCATCTGATATGATGCGCATTGGCAATTTAAAAATAAATATCAACTTATGCATGCACAAAACATATAAAGTTTTCACTGACATATAAAGTTTCAATGTATCTGAAGACAAATGTTAGCACAATGTACCTGAAGCTGAAGGAAAGCGTTGACCATGTTTTTGTTGTTTTTATATCATGTTTTTATTGTTTTTATATCATGTCTTTGTTGTTGTTTATTAATTTATCAATCATTGTTTTTATCAATGTTTTATATCATTTTTTTGTTTTTATATCATGCCTTTGTTGTTTTTATATCATGTTGTTATTGGTTATTTATTAATAAATTTATATATTACTTTCATATACATTTTACTAATTTTCTTGTATCTCTGAAACTTCTATTATAGAGAAAGGGCAAATAGTGATTTAATATGTTTTGTATTTTAATTTTATACTATATTATATATACTATTTTGACATGTAATTTTTTGCAGTAACATAATTACCACATGAATCTTTCTCTAATTAATTTCCTTTCAATGTGCATGAATTCGTGTTACGGGCCACTGGTTAGAAAATAAAAGACCATGAAGAAGAATCAATTTTCCCTGAACAACAACCAGCCAACTCCCAGAAGTAAAGCTTCCTAGGCTGAACCACAGCAGACTAGTGGAATGAAGACATCAGGCTAAAATCAGAAAAATCATCCAGCTGCCCAAATTGCCAACCTTCACAATAATGTACTACATAAAATGTTTACTGATTTAAACCACTATGTTTTAGAGTGCTTTATTATGCCATACAATTAACTGATACAAGGCGGTTCAAGAACTTAATAATAGTAGCTCTTTTTATGTTTTTTTTTTTATTTGAAGCTAGGTAAATTCCAAACCCAGAAACCTCCAAACTATCTGGGAAAACCCTTGGGAATATACTGATAAGAGTTTTAGCCACAAAGGACAATACCTTCTCCATTTTTCTTCCCTATTAACTAGGACAATACTATGGCATCCTTTCTTTAGCTTGTGTGTTTAGATAACACCCACTCACCATTCCTTATCTCTACCCATTGTTTGGGTTTTCTGAGTAAATGAGACACTCAGAGATAACTGAACCAAATAACACATGTGTGCCTAATTAGGAAGAGTCAGTGGTAGCACCAACTGTTCTAGAACCTCCAAATCAAGGCATCATTTCTAACTGATACAATTGTAGCTTACATGGGCAAATAGATGTAGACATCCCTATAGTTCTTTTAATACAAATTTTAATTTTATAGACATCCCTATAGTTCCTTTAATAAAATTTATAGTAAGCTGCTGAGAAACCTTACAGAAGAATAAATAGAATGGGAATTGTATAATTGGCTGAAAAGGATTTCAGGATCACACTGCAAAAGCACTTTCTAGATACTCCATAGCTAAGTATAGCTTCCAGGTGAATTTCAACCATTATTCTCTTGGCATCGCAGGTGAACTCGGTTTCCATTCCAAACCATGAGATCTTTGATGTTCCACATCCACTTCAATATTCTGGAGTTCCAAGCTATATCTTTGTCTCTCTCTTATACTTGATATTAAAGGGACATATAACTCCTATTGTTTGTTCACTGTAGCTGATATTTTAATTTTTTTTTTAAAAGGTTAAAAACATGCAATGGTAAGGATGAAGAATGTACATCTTATAGTTAAGTACTCTATGACAGACATATAAACAGGAAAGTCATTAATAATCATGTTAACCATATAATTTGTCATCCAAACTGCACTTCTGGGAGTAAAATAGGGTACAGTTAATAATTGAAACAGGACATCAGGCATAAACCAAGACTGCATTAGATATACCAGGCTGTATGGTTCACTGAGTGATATAGAGAAAGATGTAGGGAAAGGAAAAGGGGGGAATCAAGCCAGAGAAACTAGACAGCTATCTAATTTCTAATCCATTCGCCTACAGTTTAGTTGCATTATGCTATAATACTATGAATTCTTAGAAAATCATACATAGGCATATTCGTTGAAGTATCTGAACTTCGAAGTCAAATTAAGTAATCTTTTGATTAGAAATTGTTTTGTATTATGCACAACATTGAGTTCCTCTTAAATGTAGTGGATAATTCATAACTGACTTGATAAATAAGAGAAGAAGCACTAAAAGCTAATTTCATTCTTGGAGCATACGCTGCCATAATGGTTTATGATAATAGGTTACCATGAAACAATTATTATCACAGCACATTTGAAACTGGTCTTAGCTGAAATATATATAGTATTCCATTTAATAATAAGGTGAAAAGAAGAGAATATAAATTTTGTTATTTAAGTGGAGGAATTAGCTGGAAGAAAATATCACTACTTACAAAAATAATACTTTGTATACTATAAGAGTACTTATAATAACTGTATGATTTAAACATATCATATAGCCTATAATTCTCTTTTTAGATATGGAGAATCTATTATAGTCTTGATTCTGATCTCCACAGGGAAGAAACAATTCTGACCAAATAAAAAATAATGAGAAATATAAATGGGCATTTTTCTGGTCTTTTTCATTTCTTATTAAAAGAAAAACTGATATCCAAAAGTAATAATCAAATCAATATTACTTCATCAACCACTACTTGAAAGAAAACTTTCATTAGTATTCCACTGAGTTAGCTCATTTCTTAATATGTCACATATATTAATGTATAAAAAATGAAATGAAGGAGTCATCTATGAGGTGACAAAAGGATATTTCACTTTGGGTGGTAAACACAATGCAGTGTATTAATAATATATTATAGAATTGTACACCTGAAACCTATATAATTTTATTAACGAGTGTCACCCCAACAAATTTAATTTAAAATTCTAAGGAATGAAATGGTCCTTTGTGAAAACCTAACAATAAACAATAAATAGCACTTTGAGAAGAGTTAAATTTAAGTTTATATGCATTCACAGAGACACAGGGATACTCTTTCATCATAGCTGCACCCACTTTGTTCTATTACATATCTGAGATCTATATTGCATATGACTACTTAAGTTAATGGCTTCAGAGAGCTAGAACTCTTTAATGCTGTTTTATACAAAATAAATGGCCAGAGCAAAAAGAGGTATTGTTTGAGAACATAAGGCCAAGGTGATTATAGAGCATTAAAAACACTATATGACAAAATGCTGCCATCTTATACCAAGTAATGCTGATATTGGAGTGCTCAGTTTTACAAAGGCCTATGTTCAGTGGCATGAAAACTTGGGGAATAAAAGAAAAGAAATATTTTGCCTGCTTTTAATGAAATGGTAAAGTGATAATTAAGTGAAATAAAAAGTGTCATTCTAGTAAGAATACAATGGAAGTCTTAATATAGCACATTTTATTTGAAGAGTTCAAATGCTGAACAAGGGAATTACTAATCAGAACCATGCATTATGTAAGGAGAAGGTTTTACAGATTGGATATAAAAAGGAGCAGGAAAATAACTTTCCCCAGGTCACATCATTCTTACATGGCATAGCTAAAAACTGTACATATACTAGTATAGATAGAATTTTCTGGTAACATTTGCATTGTTAAAGTATTATTGATTTTTTTTTTTAAATAAGTCAACAGCAGACAAGCATCCTCTTCCAAATTTCTATTCCGAAAAGCAGTTATGATAGTTTGAATTTTCTAAAAAGTCAAAAAATGTTTGGAGTACAAGTTTTGTTACATTAGTCATAAAAATTTTTTGGATTTGTATAAAATTGAAAACATGAGGAAAGCATCAGTATTTTCTGTGTCCTCTCTATGTCCTCCTGACCATGGTGCAAATCAACTTCTTTGTTTAGGAGCACTTGACAGGTGTTCATGTAAGGCCTTGTTACATGAATGTAGATAGCATCAACTATCACTTTTATCTTGTCCTCGGAGCTATAGAAGAAGTTTAAATAGAGGCAGGCTTTCAAGAGGGATGGGTTACACGTATAGGTATTTTTTAAGATAAAAAAAAAAACATTCTCCTGGCTCTCTTAACCCAAGAGAGTTGGAGACTAATTCTTCTCCATGACACTTTATTTTTATTTTTTTTAAATAGCCCATATTCTAGCCTGGAGGAGTAAGCACAGTAAAATGAGTTTTAAAAGATAGGAAAAAGAAGGGAAATTAGCAATCAAGGTACATTGACATTTTCTAGTAATAAAACTTATATGAATTATGTGCATCCAGCCTGTCTGAAAGAATTAGAAAAGGAAAACAACTGTGCCTTGTCCTGATAGGCCTTTTACCTTAGGTAGTCAGAAACAGTTTTGAGCTGATGGTATCTGAGCGAGTAGGTACTTAGCTCATCCTTCTACTTACACATGAGAAAGCTGAAGCCCAAAAAAGGTGAAATGACTTTCTCAATGGGCCTGAAGATAGGTCCTGGCCCAAACCTAGAAAAGCAGTTACTGAAACTAATACCCTATTAAATTGTAATTGTATTGGATTAAATAAATCACCAAAGAAAAAAACAACATTTACTGGATACTAAGCAGTTTCCAGTTTTAAAATGCATAAATAGTTTCACATTATGAAAGGACATTTGATTTCAGTTGATGTTTTTCCCTAGGCCTTCCTGAGATAAACTGATACTTTCTGAACATAATATACTGCTAAGACCAAAAAAAAAAAAAAAAAGTGTGTGTGTGTGTGTGTGTGTGTGTGTGTGTGTGTGTGTGTGTGTTGGGGTGGGGGGGAGGGCGGGACACTTTAAGGATGTTTATGTCTTGGAATTACCCTCATGTCAGTGAGCATTTAGGAAAAAAATCCGAAGAGGAGGGCGCCCAGACGAACCACGTGAAGAAACAGTTAACTGCAGGGCCCCACCTCCTTGTAAATAATCAAGGAAAGCCTTTTTAAAAGCAATACAAAATGTCACCACAGGCTGACGCTCTTTCGATAAGAATAATGAGCTCCTTTGCTCCCGAGATGATGCGCACCTACTTCATGGCCTTTATAATTCCGCTTTCAGTGTCCGTGGTTCCTGTACACTTTCCCTTCCCTTCAAAAGCTGGTAACATGCCATGCCTACAATCTATCAATGGCTGGTCTGCAGGAGCAGGTTCATGAACTCGAATGCGTGTCCTCTGGATCCGGACCCACCGGGTAGAACTGCAGGAAACGCAGGGCGCCAGCGGGGAGTCCCTGGCCCCGGGACTGAGCAGGCTCCCCCGCAGGCTGGCCCTGCGGAGGCTGGCAGCAGGCGCCCTGGCGATCCAGGCTTGCTCTCCAGTCCGGACCGGGCGCTTTCAGTGCCACCGTCTTTTCCGTTAAAACACAGCGACCCACCGAGAGTTTCGAGCATCTGCCAGCCCCAGCCGGGTAAATTCAAGGGAACCGCTGATGTGAGGGGCTGAGGCTCTGACCCCCGGGGGAGCCCCGCCTGGCGCTCGCGGAAAAGGAGAAAGAATGGGCGCGGAGACAAAAAGCCCGAGCGGCCGGCGCGCCACGAAGGGGATCAGAAAGAGGAACCTCTCCCCCTTGTAGCAGTTAAACGTGCGGGAAAACCTGTCCCAGGAGCTGACCCCGCTGGATGGAACACCGGGGCGACTTCAGAGAACAGGAAACAGGGTGTGCTCCCGGGGTGGGGCTGTGCCCGGGGTGGGGCTGTGCCCGGGGTGGGGCTGTGCCCGGGGTGGGGCTGTAGGTGAGAGGAGATGACAGTCTCCGAGCTTAGAGAGGGTTACACTGAAATCCAACTGTGGGCGTGATTTTCTTTGCATTTTACGAACTACAGCACCCTCGTCCTCCCTTCTCTCCTCTTGGCTCCAGATTGAGTACCCTTCCTTCCCTCAGCAACGCTGGGATCAGGAAAAAGAGGGGAGAAAATTCACACTGTGCCAAAAAAAAACCTCAGGGGGTCTCTCCTCCCGCTCCCCCGAGGTTCCTGCCCTCCCCGCACCCACCTGCTTTATAACCGACTGAACCCGCGTTTCACAGTCCCCGCTCCACACCCCACCCGGAGACGGTTCCCACACGCCTCCTTCTCCAACCTCAGAACAGCAGGTGAGCTCATGACCTCACCCAGAAATGGAACTTTGAGGAGGAGATCGCCCCCCTCCCCCGCGCCACTGCCAACCACAGACACTCACAGCTGCAGGTCACGAACACTCAGCATCCTCAGGTTCCAGCCCCCTACCCTCTCCCCCTTCCCCCCCTTTTCCTAGGAGGGATCCAGAGGCTTTCAAACCTCCTCTCTGGCTCCAACTTGCCAACAACCAAAGGAATAAGCACAAATTAGAGATGCCAAAGGGAAGTGAGTTTTCATTTGAAAAAAAAACAAAACGCTAAAAGAGAGAAACCAACAGAACCTGAAGTAACAGGAAGTAGGAGTTGTGCTTGCAACTGTCTATAAAGGGCTAGCGACCTAAACTTTATATGGATGGGGGGGGGGGGGAAATAAAAGCTAAAAAATCCTCCAGTCTCGAGAGGAAATAAACCTGCTGCTCTGTCGGTGAGGGTCCCACTCCTGTCAGCCGCCCTTTGGTCTGGGCATGACAGAGCCAGGGGACAGCCCTAGGGTGAGAAAAGGGATTTCCGTCCAGAGATATTTTAGTGTTGGGGGATTTTGCCCTTTAAAAAAAAAAATTATTATTCTGAGGCTCAGAACAGAACTGAGATCTGAGGTTGAATCACAAGTCCTGGAAAATGCACGAGCCCCGCGGTGAGGTCTCACCAGCCCGGCTGGGTTCTCTACCCGCCGTCAATCCTGAACTCACCGCCCACCCAGACCACGCGGAGGGGGCGTCCGAGCGGCAGGTGGGGTTTAGGTCAGGACTTTCTGGGAAGCTGGTCAAGTCCTCTTTCTCTTCTCCCTCTCCCATCGCCTCTGGACTGTTACCACGGGG